AATAATGATCAAGCAGTACAGATCACTTGAATGACATTCGATCGAAATACTTCGAAGAGAAAGCATATAGAATTCATCTGGAAATCAACATACTTTTGTTCGTGCGCATGCATGAGCAGACTGTCGTCGAATTCATCATGGAACGGTGGTGAATAACTTGCAGTGGCACACAGACTCGATCTAATCGATGGATCTGTCCTACTTCTGCTGTTCCTCAATACCGATTCACAGTGGTCACCACCAGTCATCAAAGAAAGCGAGCGACTACGCTGAAATTGATTAGGTTGTTGACATTTGGAAATGATATCTCGGATTTATCTGTTTCGGTCACTTCATTGAAAAGTAGTGATAAGGAATGGATGCAGACGAAGTATCTTCTGATTGCGTTATCGATAAAGACTTATTCGAAGATTGATCGTTACAAAGAGATTGTTGGGAAGAAGCATTCAAACGAATGTTCATGAAATGGTTGAAAACGATTGATCTGTTGAATTCGTTCACCTTCAGAAGTGCTTGCCATGAATTGAGACACATCTGGAAAAGGTTCAGTTCGGGACATCTACGAATCAGTTTAGGAAGGTACGGTTTCATTGATTCGATCATGGCCAAAGGCTCTGGAAGTGTGGTTAGGGCTGGTATTGAGGAATGCAGCGAGTCACCACTTGAACTTGGTCCTAGCTGAGCGATACTTTGAGATCGATTCCATGGATTCAAACCGTTCACTTCACTTTTTCCATTCTTCATGATCCGTCTCATTGACATCTCTTCAACCTGAAANACATCAAATAGAGACATACCGCATCAATGCTTGGAATCGATCTGCTGATATCATTGTAGACACTGTCGAGAATATTCGTTGATGAACGCCACACTTCCTTCTGCCGTGTCGTTGCATTTCCACGTTTCTTTTCACGCAACAAAATTCGAGGTCTTCTATCCTGCAAAGTGATCACCTCGAATCAATCAATCACTAACAATCAATGGGTAAGCATAATGAATGCAACAGTGAACAATCGCTAACGTTAGAAGACATGTCGCTGGTTGACGTTGACCCACTAGCGTTTTCTTTGGGTTTCGATATGCTGCCACTCAATTGAGAAGAATTCAATGAACTCATCGAACGAGCCGTCTTTGTGCACAGCAAAGGTCTGGAAACGCTTTATAGTTTCTCGGCTGTTCATTAGTATCAAATGCGAGCAAGTACGATTGAAAGTATCAGGTAAGTGCATTTAAAAGGCTGGTATCCGCAAGCAATCCTGATTTTTTTTTGGCTTTCGAGAACGTGAATCTCTTAAGAGCAATTAGGAGGCGACAACGAGAAAACCGTTGAAGAGCATGCGAATAAATATAAGACAGCAAATTCAGCTTACATCCAAGTGACAATAAGCTCAAGTTTAAGTGTGCCAATCTGATTAAGGTTCATGGTGACAAGCTGTGACTGGGATGAGAATAGCTCACACGGATCAAAAGATCTTTCGTTCAGAGCTTTCGATTTGAAGAATCGCACTTCATACACCTGAATTGGTAATAAATCCTACAAATGCACTACATAACATCATAAATTTCTCATCGAAACCTCAAACGCAATGAGCTTTTCAAACAAAATATACACTAGAATTTAATGAATGTTAA